CTTTACAACTGACGAATTGATGAATCGAGAAATATGAAGTGTTTAGTATCACAAATGTTGGGTGGTGATAACTCAATTCAGTAACACAAAGCAATCTTTATCTATGGAAGCACACAGTTTCTTAAGTTATGCTTTCGAATTGCATTTTCATTTGCATTTACTGCAACTGTGGTAGAATATGATTGATCAGATCCGCCCTGCCATATTCATTCTTAAGGATGACAAAAATAAACAGTCGAATTTTATCCACGTGAATGTTCATTTTTTCCTCGATCATCGATGTACTGCATTAGGATTAACTAGCACAACTCTCGACAACATAAGCTGCACTGCTAAGTACAAAAAATGGATGCAATGTTGAGATTCACACCAGAGTCGCAGAAAATTTTTTTCAGACGATTTTCACTGGCTATCGCACATGGTTGTTTATGTTGATACCACTGTCCTTTGGAATATCAGTGCTACTGTTCGGTCCTACAATGTACTATAATACTACTCTGGGAAGCTGGTTCTTCGGCTTGGATCCCAATAAAGAACTTGTACGATATCATTTCAGCGTTATTATTATTGCTATTATTATCATGCTATTAATCATATCATTGCTTATGCAGTATTGCTGAACGCTGTGCGAATGGTGTTTGATGAATAATTTCCTTTCAAAATGAACTTTGATTCTCAGATCAAATCAATGACTACGACTAGAATCCGATCAGATGAATTTTAGTTTGCGTGACTAATCTGTGGTGTTCAGGGTGGAAATATGCTGCAATTGTCCGTGAATAGCCTTGCGACGCTGATAATTTTATCGCAGTACGCAGCCATTACAATCAGACTATGTGTGGTCACACGATCTGACGATGCTGGCACTAAATTGTCACCAGTGGCCAAGAAGGTATTGAATATGCATGATTATTAGTTTTCACTTCACTTTATCTTTATTTCTATCGCCTACGGTCATTACAAATGCTCGATGACGTATGCGATATAATTCAACAAAACAATACATTCAAAAATAAAACCGCTACTACGTGCACAATT